GCCCACTCAATTTTGGTGTAGCTGAGACTTGTAGGCAAGCTGCCAGCAAGCCCTCACAGGCCACAGCATCCTTCGGCTTACCTGTCTCAGGGCTCTCTACAAAGCCTTGGAAGGGCTGTGCAGCCCAGGATCTCACCAAAGCCAAAGTCTTGGAGACAGAAACAGCAGTGAGGGGAGTCAAGGGAAAATGCTCCAGCCTTACTCCTTCAGCTCTGCGCTGTATTCTACATGATTCCTCCAAATGTTCCCAATGTGACTGAGCACAGTACTCCACAGTGACAGGTGCTCCATACTGCACCTTTTATTGACTTTTCTCCTTCTTTGCTCACTCCCATTTCTGCTTCCTGGGATCACCTCCTAAACGCACTCCTGCACCAAAAGACTTGTCTCACATCTCATACTCTGTTTTGGGGGAGTACAAATTAAGACACTGAGATTAATCTAGTTTATTTCACAGAGTGCTAGGATACTCAGTCACTACTATACAGTACAGTATACCATTATATAAATCTACCAACCACTTCTCTCATCCCTTACTGATAGAAATGTGGGTTGTTTCCAGGCATTTGCTTTTAGAAACAGGACTGCCCTGAACATTCTTGATAGATATTTCCTGCTCACATGTGCAAGAGTTCCCCTAGAGCAGCAGTTCTTAATGTGTGGTCCACGAACCTTGGAAGTCCCTGAGGCCCTATCAGCCAGGTTAAAACTACATTCATCATAATAAAGACGTTGTTTACCTTTTTCATGGTATTGACATTTTCAAGGACCCTGCAAAAGCAACAATGGGTAAAACTGCTAGTACAAATCAGCAGGTGGCACCAAACTGTAGTAGAAGTGACAAATTTTATTAAATCTCAGCTCTTACATCTTTTCAGTATTCTCTGTGACAAAATGGGAAGGATGCATAAGCAGTTATGCTGCATATCAAAGTATGATGACTTTCTCAAGGAAAAAACTTTACGTGATTGAGTTGTGAGCTGAAGGAAGCACTTGACTCACAAAGCACCAGGCTTACCTGACAGCACAGCTGAAAGACAAAGTATAATCATTCAGACCTGGGTATCTGGCAGACATTTTCTCCAAAACGCATAAAATGCACCTGTCACTTCAAGAAAAGCAACTGACAGTGTTTGTTGTCAATGAGAAAATTCAACCTTTTGAGCAAAAGTTAGAATTTTGGAAATTTTTTATCTGCTATTATGAGCTTGATAATAGCAAAAGACTTTTCTGCTGAGACTGGTATTGGTATTAATAAATGTGATTTTTTGATGTTGTATAATGTGTCAACATTTAGAAGATCTGCATAACTCAGTGACCCAGCAATTTCCAAATGACCAATGCACGTGTTGACAAAACCCTGCATGGGTAAAATGTTCATTTAAAATGCAAGAAAAACGCCGGGCGCGGTGGCTCAAGCCTGTAATCCCAGCACTTTGGGAGGCCGAGGCGGGTGGATCACGAGGTCAAGAGATCGAGACCATCCTGGTCAACATAGTGAAACCCTGTCTCTACTAAAAATACAAAAAATTCGCTGGGCATGGTGGCGTGTGCCTGTAATCCCAGCTACTCAGGAGGCTGAGGCAGGAGAATTGCCTGAACCCAGGAGGCGGAGGTTGCGGTGAGCCGAGATCGCGCCATTGCACTCCAGCCTGGGTAACAAGAGCGAAACTCTGTCTCAAAAAAAAAAAAAAAAAAAAAATGCAAGAAAAACTGTGAGTGTTGCTATAATGGAGTATAAAAAGGTCATTGCTGTGGTTTCAGATTTCATGTTACAATTAAACTTTAAAAAACTACCACTTGCTGAGTTTTGGTGTCTTATCAAAGAACATCCATGATTATCTGAAAAGGCTATTGAAATGTTCCTTTTCCAATTACATACACTTCAACCACAAAACATATTGAAACATATTGCAGCAGATTGAAAGATATAGCTGGCTTGAGAATACAGCTGTCTTCTATTGAGCCAGACATCTAAAAGATTTACAACCGTTAAAAAGAATAAAATCCTGTCATTCAAAGTGACATGGATGGAACTAGAAGCTTATTTCACTTATGTTAAGTGAAATAAGCCAGGCACAGAAAGTTAAACACCACATGTTTTCACTCATAGATGTTAAAAAGAAATTAATCTCATAGAAGTCAAAAACAGAATAGAAGTTACTAGAGGCTGGAGAGGGAAGGGAAGGATAGGGAGAGATTTGTTCAGTAACACAAAATCACAGCTAGGTAGGAGGAACAACTTCTGGTGTTTTGTAGCACTGTAGGATGAGCATAGTTAACAATAACGTATTATGTAGTTTGAAATAAAGAAGAAAGGATATTGAATGCCCTCAACACAGTAAAAATGACCAATGTTTGAGATGATGCATATGTTTATTACCCTGATCTAATCACTACACATACCCCATAAATATGTACCAGTATGTGTCAATTGAAAATTAATTAGGGCCAGGTGTGGTGGCTCACGTACGTAATCCCAGGACTTTGGGAGGCTGAGGCAGTCGGATCACCTGAGGTCAGGAGTTAGAGACCATCCTAGCCAAATGATCAAAAAGAACATTTCCCAGAATGGAAGACTATGTTTCCCAATTGAAAGGGGGCCACCCAGTGCTTAGCATAATGAATGAAAAATACTTACAGGGCAGTTTATTAAGAGCGTTCAGAACATCAAGGATCAAGGAGAAAAATATCCTAAAGGCTTCCAAAAACTAATAAACTAACAAAATATACAGGAAGTAACAGAAGTCGGAATAAAACAGTCTCCTCAAGAGTCTAGCCACATGAGAAGCCAGATGACAATGAATCAAGTGCCTTTAAACTTCTGAGGGAAAATAATTTCCAAGTGGAAATCTGTCACTCAAGGATGAAAGAAAACAAAGTCATTTTTAGAAAAGCAAGGACTCAAAAATTTACCTTCCATGAACTCTTTCTGGGGAGTTAATGGCCAAGAGTCCACTGATAACGCTGCAAAAGAGACAGACGAAGCACAAACTCATGACAGAATAAAATGAGAGAATAAAACAAGAATGGAAGGCCAGGCGCGGTGGCTCACGCCTATAATCCCAGCACTTTGGGAGGCCGAGGCGGGTGGATCGCGAGGTCAAGAGATCAGAGACCATCTGGTCAACATGGTGAAACCCCATCTCTACTTAAAAAAAAATACAAAAATTAGCTGGGCATGGTTGCGCATGCCTGTAGTCCCAGCTACTCGGAGGTTAAGGCAGGAGAATTGCCTGAACCCAGGAGACGGAGGTTGCTGTGAGCCAAGATCGCGCCATTGCACTCCAGCCTGGGTAACCAGAGTGAAACTCCATCTCAATAAATAAAAAAAAAAAAAAGAATGGAAAAACATAAGATCCAGAGCAGAGGATCTGGCACAGGAGAAACAAGAAGACAATCTCCAGAATGTGGTCAGGCCTGTAATACCAGCTACTCGGGAAGCTGGGGCGGGAGAATCGCTTGAAACAGGAAGGCAGAGGTTGCCGTCAGCCAAGATTGCGCGCCACTGCACTCCAGCCTAGGCAAAAGAGCCCAACCTTGTCTCAAAAAAAAAAAAAAAAAAAGATATTCATTATACTTTCCTCTGATTGCTAAAGTATAAATGTTTACTGCAGAAATTTTGGAAAATCTGGACGCAATTGCTCACATCTGTAAATGCCAGCACTTTGGGAGGCCAAGGCGGGAGGATCATTTGAGTCCAGGATTTCCAGATCACCCTAGGAAACATAGTGAGACCCATCTCTACAAAAAATAAAAAAATTAGCCAGGCATGATGGTGTGTGCCTGTATGTCCAGATACTTTGAAGGCTGAGGTGGGAGGATTGCTTGAGCCCAGGTTACAGTGAGTTGTGACTGCACCACTGCACTCCAACCTGGGTGACAGAGCAAGACCCATCTATTTTTAAAAATTAAATAAAATTTTAAAAATTGTGCAACAGATCTCTAGAACTTTTTCACCTTACAAACCTAAAACTCTATACCCTTTAAACAATTCCTCTTCTCCCTCTCTCCCAGCCACTGGTAGTCACCATTCTACTTTCTGTTTCTTAGACTTGGACTGTTTTCGATACTTCATATGAATGGATACATACAGTATTTATCTTTTTGGGGGGTTGTGCTCACTTTTAAGGCTTTTGACACCTAGTATTAAACTGATCTCCAGAAAGGTTGGAACGATTTACAGTTTGGCAGGAAGCGCGTGAGTGTCCACCTGGGCTGAGTTCATTGCTTGCTTCAGCAGCTATCAATTGTTTTCATTCATTTACTAGTTTGACGGTGGAATAAATAGTAGACCCGAACATGGTTTTACTTTGGATAAGGTCATTGTCCCGTGAATCCTGGCTGAAATTACTTGCTGCCAGCAGTTAGGAACTGTGTGACCCTGGACAACTCACTAAACTTTTCAGTGCTTCTGTACCCTTATGCGTAAAATAGGGATAATAATACACACGTATACATTATACACACTTATTATGAGGCATTAATGTGAAGTTGTAAGAACAGTGCCTGGAATATAGTAAGCCCAAAGGTGAGGTAGCTATTATTTTTTGGTCAATCCTTGCTAATGTAATACATGGAAAATCACAGCCAGCTACTTTAATTCACATCTCCTCGGTAATCAGTGAACGTGAATGTTTCTCTGTATTTATACCATTATGGCTAATGGTACTTCTGTCAAGATTTCCTTATTCAAAGCACTGTGGCAAACGGGATCTCACTTGATCCGCCCAATAAACTTATGAATGAAGGTGGCAATTACCAATCCCCACTTTTCGAATTAAAAAACTGAGGCTCGGAATTCTAATTCTGAGCAGTTCCAATTCCAGGATTAAGATCTCACCCTCTAAAACCTAGTAGCGGTTGCAGAAAATAACCAAGAAAAAGCTTTTGTGAGCCGTAACCACCACCCACCCCGCCGTGGCCCCGCCTCTGCCCCGCCCCGGCACCGGCTCGCCCCGCCCCACCCTGCACTCGAAGCGGATTTCCAGACATCCTCTCTACGCACGCGCGGCCCTTCCAGCGGGCGGAAGCCCCCTGGCGCGCCGCCCTCCGCCCCTCCCCCCGCGCGCGGCCCCGCCCCGGCCCCGCCCAGGACGAGGGGCGGCGGGCGCGCAGCGCTAGGTCCCGTGGTGGGGAGAAGGCAAGGATTTCCCACCGGGGGCGTTGTCTGCAACTCGGCGGAGGCTCCAACGTCCGGCGGCCCGGCAGGGAAAGGTACAGACCCCTGAGCTCCTCTGTCGGCGGCTCCAGCGGCCGCCATTTTCCTCCTGGAGAGGGAAGAGGGCGGGAGGAAAGGGCCGTCCCCTGGGGCCGGGCCGGGGCGGGGTCGGGGGCCGGGCGGCGGAGGGCGGGCCCGGGCGGCGGTGGGGCCTGGCTCGCAGGCCGCTGAAGCGGCGGCTGCCGCAGAGTTGGGCCGGTCGCTGTCAGGCCGGCCGCGGTGGGAAAACCCTGGGCGCTCTCAGGGCCTCAGCGTCCATTAGGACAGTCTCCCGGGCTGGGTGCCGCACGCTGCAGAGCGGGCAGCGCTTTCACAGGGTTTTTCGCATTTCACCCGCACACAGCCTCTCCTGGAGGGAGCAGGAAGACACTATTATCCCATTTTGCAGACAGAAAACTAAGGCTCAGAGTGGGGAAGAGACTTGCCCGGGGACACTTAGCGAGGTTGTGGCTTTGGGACTCAGGTCCTGCTTCCCACGTCCAGCGTCCCTGCCACCAGACCACTCTGCTTCACCTGGCAAAGGATGGGGCGGAGCTAAAGGATTAGAGGCGTGACTGGCAGGGTTTTTTGTTTTTGTTTTTGTTTTTTTAAGATCTGCCTCTTTCTGTACCACCCAGATCAGAGCCTCCTAAGAAATATCCAAAAGTCAAGCCATGGATCCACCTGCACGTAAAGAAAAAACCAAAGTTAAAGAACCTGTCAGTAGAGTTGAGAAGGCCAAACAGAAATCAGCCCAGCAGGAGCTGAAGCAAAGACAAAGAGCGGAGGTGAGATTAAGGCGGAGGCTCTGTACGCCTGTAGTATGCTGGAGATGATGCTGGAATAGAGAAACAGCAGAAAAGAGAAATGAGAGCGAGCCCTACTTGCCTCCAGGCAGGATGGGTGTTCTGCTAGGTTTAGAGGGGAGATCACTGAGGTCCAGAATGGTGAGATGACAGCCCAGAATCACATGCCTAGTTAGTGTCAGAACCCCGGCCTGGTGCGGAGCTTTTGTGGCAGGGACCCGACGGAAGGAAGAAACGGGAAAAAAAAAGATATATAAGGGGAGAGAAGGGGTCAGAATGAAAGAGAATGAAAGAGAGCACGCAAGTATCAGACACCCCCAGCACAGGTCTTCTGGATTTGGAGCAGAAAGTAGCTAGGCATGACCAGGTAGAGGCCCAAGCTTTAAACCCACCGGTGTGTTCCTTTGTTCTCTCAATGCTTACAATTAATTTGAGAATAAAAAGCCTTAAACTTTACACTGCCAATATTGAGCCACATAAACACCTGAGTGTTTTAGTATTTAATGTCAGGGAAAGGCTTGCTGGTCTCATTTCCCTCTCTTTGCTTTGTCTGTCTGCTTTGTTCATTTCCTGTCTTACATCCTTTTAACCCTCCCCATGCACAACTATTTTTTATACTTTTACATTCAAATGTATTAATATCCTTGAACAATATATAATAGTGTTTGTTTTAAATTTTTACATTAATGAAATTCTTGCATTTTTATTTTGCTTACATTGTTCTTTAGAGCTATTCATGCTAATATAAGAATCTAGTTTATTCTCATTAATTTTTACAATAGTCTATTTTATGCATCCATTTTAGCATATTTATCCATTCTTACAGGGGTGTACATTTAAATTATTTATAGTATTTTCTGCTGTTACAAACATTTCCGTAGTGAAAAGCTTTTAGGTGTTTTCTTTGGCACCTGCGTTAGAATTTCTGTAGGGTATTTAACTAGAAAAATTACTGGGTACATTGTCAATTTTACTAGACATTGCCAATTTGCTTGGTTTTTTTGTTTGTTTGTTTTTTGGTTTGTTTGTTTGTTTGTTTGTTTTTTGAGACGGAGTCTCACTCTGGCCCAGACTGGAGTGAAATGGTGCAGTCTCGGCTCACTGCAACCTCTGCCTCCCAGGTTCAAACAATTCTGCCTCAGCCTGAGTAGCTGGGATTACAGGCATGCGCCCCCATGCCCAGCTAATTTTTGTATTTTTAGTAGAGACATGGTTTCACCATGTTGGCCAGGCTGGTCTGAAACTTCTGACCTCACATGATCCACCCACCTTGGCCTTCCAGTGTGCTGGGATTACAGGCGTGAGCCAACCTGCCAAATTGCTTTCAAAGGACTTGTATACATTTATACTCCCACTAGCAGTGTAAGAGGGTTCTCATTCCTCATTTTTTTCTAACACTTGATATTATCAACTTTTAGTTTTTGTTAATCTGGTTGATTCATTAAATATTGAGCTGCTAGTATGTGCCAGCCACTATTCTAGGAATTTCTGGTACATGATGACAAAGCAGAAAAGAATCCCTCCCTTCATGGATCTTGCATTTTAGCAAGGGGAGGCAGTAAACGTAATAAGTAAACTTACTAGTGCACTTGAAGTTAATCTGTGAATTGAAATCTACCTTTGGATTAAGGCAGACCACCTGAGAGCTGTGGTCCTTTACCTCCCCATTCCCACCTGGATCCAGGTCCCCAGATGATGTGGCTGCATTGTGCTCTGGTGAATAATATGAGGGTTGCTGTAAGAAACAGCCCTGAAGCAGGAGAACAGAAGCTACAGATAAGAAAACCATTGATCAGAGAAATGGTGACATAGCCAAGGGAGCTCCCACTGGAGGAACAGAGCCGTCTGCACTTCTGTGTATGACAAATGCTCTGGGAAATGGAGAACCAGTTGCCAGCCCATGTGTGGTTACCTCACACCAATCAAAAGTGACTGTGGAGAGCACCCCCAGTTTGGAAAACCAAATGAAAAAGCAGTAGCTGTTCAGAGTGAAAATGTTGAAGAAATTATAAATTTACCCATTGGATCAAAACTATCCAGATTAGATGTCACCAACAGTAAGAGTCCAGAAATTCCTTTGAATCCAATTTTGGCTTTTGAGGATGAAGGGATGCTTGTGCTCCTGTCTCAGGTAGATGGTGTTCAAACACAACAGACTGCAGAAGTTACATGAGTATTTCTTCTGAAGAACCAAAGCCAAAATTTAATGAGAATTTCTACAATTAATTTAATTCCTTTCATGCTGTAAAAGAGCATCTCCTCTTCCAGTTTTCTACAGATTTCTTGACGATCATTTTGAAAAGATTTATTAAAACTAGCTAAAGACAACAGACTAGATAGCTTTTCTGATAATTTTCATCAGTAGAAAAAAAAATACTTCTCATTTTTCAGTACTTTAAAATGGCTTTTTTCAGTGTACTCCTTAGCAAATCAGTGTTTTTCTGCATTCTTTAAAAGACAAGAGCATTTGGCTATATGAGAAATGGATTGACTAGGCATTTTTTTTTCACATAAATATTTTGGTCTTAAAAGCTTAAGAGCTTAAAATTTGCCAAAAAAAAAAAAAATTACCTTTACTGTGGAATACTTGAAAAGTACGTACCTCTTTGCTCTACAAGTAGAATGAATGGGGGAAATTTTAAACCTTTTTTTTTTTTAAATAGTGCAAAGAGCTCTATTTGCAGAGGCAAATTATAGGCAGATTGCCAGGTTCTTATAAATACAAACTTGTACATGGCCATTCTGCAAACCCAGCTGTCATAATCTTGCAACTCCTTTTGCAAAAGCATACTTGAATGTTTTAAAATGTGAAAAAAACATTATTTTTTCAGAGCAAGAAAATAATTTACTGTTCTCTTAAAAAATGTATTAAGTTCTTCCAGATAAACTCATCAAATAAATTTAGAGCAATGTGACAATGTTGCAAATTTGTTATTAGATGCATTCCTTCTGATGTCCCTAGGGGAGAATGTTACTGATTCAAGACTGTTTCTGAAGTCTATGTTGCTGCTGTCCCCAGTGATGGTGGGACTTATCTCTGCCTTACCTGATCACACATTATGTGGGAGGAAAATAAAGATTTAATATTTTATTAAGTAAAAAAAGAATTTGGTTTTGCCCATTTAAGAGCAATGAAAAAATGGTGGAATGTTAACTGTGTTTGGCCACAGGGCACAGACCTTTATGGAAGTCCTCTTTCTGCATGACATCCGCCACCTTTTCACCTTTCATTCTTATTCTTCATTTTTGCTGCTGAGCCTAGCTGTACAAATTCTCACTTTTACTTGCTAATGTAAATTCAGTTTATTTTACCATTTTAGAGACTACTAATTATTACAAGTGGGAAAGGGCACAGATATTTTTATGTGAAGTGTTAAAAAAGATAAAGTTATACCACTGTAATATGCTAGATTTATTAAAAGAGAGTGGTTAAACTGCTAGGTTGAATGAGAGACTTCATCTGTTTTCTACCTTTTTGTTAAAATTCAAGCATATGGTCTTTAGTGACAGCTTATAACTTGTTAAAACATTAATTTGGAGTTTTTCCCAATGCTTAGTTGTCTATGTATACATAGTCATTATACTAAAATCAATTTTTTTTTTTTTTTTTTTGAGACAGAGCCTCACTCTTTCGCCAGGCGCCAGGCTGTAGTGCAGTGGCACAATCTCGGCTCACTGCAACCTCCGCCTCCTGGGTTCAAGCAATTCTTCCGCCTCAGCCTCCCAAGTAGCTGGGACTACAGGCACACACCACCATGCCCAGCTAATTTTTGTATTTTTAGTAGAGACGGGGTTTCACCACATTGGCCAGGATGGTCTCGATCTCTTGACCTCGTGATCTGCCCGCCTCGGCCTCCCATAGTGTTGGGATTACAGGCTTGAGCCACCGAGCCTGGCCTAAAATCTATTTTTTAAAAAAGCCGTATGAACCTGTCCTCTGTGCATATTGTAAGGACAGATGTTGAGGGCATTGTTCATGCTCTTATTGACACCCTTCTGTAAAGTTCTACAGGTTAAATTTATTTGTCTGACTTCAAATCTCAGCTCCTCCATAAATCCCAGTCTTTCCGTGTGACTTTAGACAAGATACTTAACCTCTCTGAATCCCAGTTCATCAATTCCTCCTTGGTAAAATGAGGATAGTATCTACCTCAGACCGTTAAAAGGAATAGAAATATTATGTGTAGGCCGGGCGCGGTGGCTCAAGCCTGTAATCCCAGCACTTTGGGAGGCCGAGGTGGGTGGATCACAAGGTCAAGAGATCGAGACTATCCTGGTCAACTTGGTGAAACCCCGTCTCTACTAAAAATAAAAAATAAAAAAATAAAAAAAGAAATATTATGTGTAAAGCCTGTAGTGCAGTACTTGGCACAGAGGATTCATTTGATAAATAGCAATGATTATGATCAGGAATAATCTTGTGTTTCCAAGCAGGCAGCCTGCTTTTATTGTGTGGACTCTAAGTTGAACAACTGCTGAGTTCCTGTTGACCTGCTGAAATGCAACGTTGGTGCACTCCAGCAGCAGCTGGACCTGTGGAGCTCTTGAGATGTGCCAGGACCAGGCCAAGTCTGCACATGCATGGCCACATGTAGTCCTCACACCAGGGCTTCAAAGCAGGAGTTACTATGACTCCCATCTAACCTTGGTAAATTCAGTACGTAAAATATTTGGCCCTGTGAGGTAGGCAGTATTATCCTCACTTTAAAGTGATGTGAGTAGAGTCTTATAGTTAATGAGGGGGAGGCCTCTGGTCGAAACGTCTTCTGACCTTTGTTGTTTTTTGTCTTGCCCCCTACAGCTGCCTTGCTGGGTTTTTTGTTTGGTTGGTTGGTTGGTTGGCTGGTTGGTTTTGTTTTGTTTTGTTTTGTTTTGTTTTAAATGGAATCTCACTCTGTCATCCAGGATGGAGTGCAATGGCACAATCTCGGCTCACTGCAACCTCAGCCTCCCGGGTTCAAGCTGTTCTCCTGCCTCAGCCTCCCGAGTAGCTGGGATTACAGGCACCCACTACCATGCCCAGCTAATTTTTGTATTTTAGTATAGACAGAGTTTCACCAGTTGGCCAGTCTGGTCTTAAACTCCTGACCTCATGATCCGCCCACCTTGGCCTCCCAAACTGCTGGGATTACACGCATGAGCCACTGTACCCGGCCTGGTTTTTGTTTGTTTGTTTGTTTAAATCTTTATTGCCTGCAATGTAATGAGACAAGACCATGTGTGGGGAAGAAGAGAGTTTCTATTCAGTGCTCCAGAGATGCCAGAAAGTTAGATGTGAAGGAGAGATGTGGGAGGTGAATGGGAATGGAAGGCACATTGACACTGCTAGGGGTCCTTCTTGACAGAAAGTCATTCTTTAGCCTGGACACCCTGACCCATTATGAGTCCCCTTTTTCTCCTACCATCTTGCCTCCTCGACCTGGAGGTCTGTGAGAAGCTATTTAATATCCCTCTCAGTCCCTAGCACAGCAATGTCCAAATTACAAATGCTCAGTAAATACTGAATGAAGCAAGCAGAAGTTTTAAAATACATATATATGTGTGTGTTAAAAGTATATTTATATAACGTATGTGTGGCGCTTAAGAATAAAACACCCAACTATAGAACATGACCAGTAACTGGGAAACTTTGCGTTCCCTGCTTCTGGTCATGTGCCTCACCTTTCCCACCAGCAGTACCCTCTTTGCTGAATTTTATGCTAATCATTCTTGCTGTTCTATGTTAATTGGCTCTCTGCATACCCCTAAATAATATTGTAGTGTAACAATATATTGTTTAATTTTGCATGTTTCTGAACTTTTATATATGTTACTGTGACTGGCGCTCTCCACTCAGCACTTTTTTAACCATTCAGGTTTATTGTTATTATGGTAAAATATACATAAAATTTACCAGTTTCATCAGCAGTATTCTGCATTTCAAGAATCATTTATGGTAGTGTTAGTAACTATTTTCATCACTGTATAGAATGCCATTTTCCTTAAAGATGACAGGATCATTCAAGCTTTCTAGTCAGTTTTGATCATTTTACTTTTCCTAGGAACTTATTTCATTTAGGTTGTCAAATGTGTTGGCACAGAGTTCATGATGTTTCATTTTCATTTCTGTTATGTTAGTAGTTAAGTGTTCTTTCTAGTTCCTCATAATCCCTCATAATGTTTATTTGTGCCCACTCCCTAATTATGTTGATTTGTTGTGTCAGGTTTGCAAGAGTATTGTTAGTATTTTAAAGAACCATCTTGCAGTCTTGGTGATCCTCTCTATTGTAGGTTTGATTGGTTTTTCATTGGTTTCTGCTCTTATTTTGTATTTTCTATTTGTCCCACTTCTAAGTTTCATTTTTTCCCCTTCCTTGTCTTTTTAATTAATCAAGTTATAGCTCCTCTACACACACACTCTCATTTTTTTCTTCTACAAATTAGGAAGTTTTGTGACCTTTTTCTGTTCTTCAGTGGGTGTATTAATTACTGTAAGAATAAAGAAAGGTGAGGAATAAGGTGTAATTACCCTGCCTGTCACCTGAGAATGTCTCTTTCCATCTTCTTTCCATCACCACTGCCTGCTGTAGGCAATTCCCACGACCTCCTTCCTGGACTATTGTAACAGATGCCTTCTAAAGCACAGATATAATCACTTTGCTTATGGCTGGGCACAGTGGTTCACACATGTAATCCCAGCACTTTGGGAGGCTGAGGCAGGTGGATCACATGAGGTCAAGAGTTTGAGACCAGCCTGGCCAACATGGTGAAACCTCGTCTCTACTAAAAATACAAAAATTATCCAGGTGTGGTGGTGGGCACCTGTAATCCCAGCTGCTCAGGAGGCTGAAGCAGGAGAATCACTTGAACCCAGGAGGCAGAGGTTGCAGTGAGCTGAGATCATACTACTGCACTGCAGCCTGGGTGACAGAACAAGACTCTCTCTCTCTCTCTCTCTCTCTCTCTCTCTCTCTCTCTCTCTATATATATATATATATATATATATATTCACATTGCTCCACTGCACACTTATTGCTGGCTCTCCAGAATCTGCCATATAAAATCCAGATTCCTTGGCATGGCATTTAAGACCTCAACATAATTTTCTTGCTTTCTTCAGCTCCCCAACCCCTACTCTAAAATATCCTTCATATTGGCATACTTGAAGTTTCCAGAACAGACTCTGTACTTTTCCATTTCATTTATTTACACATAATATCCTCTCCACCATCTATTATGTCCCATGATAGATTTTAAGCTGAGATGGCCCATTTGGAGCCTTACATAACTAGACCAGAAGATATATGTGGATAAATCTGATCTTACTATATGTAACTTACACTTAACTGGTTCCTCCAATCTGAATTGGCCACATGCTTCCTGAGGAAACTTGTTTTCTTGGGATCCTACTAATCCCTTAAAGACCAAATCAAGCCACCTGCTTCACTGCTGCTTTCCTGATTCTCCAGATGGAACTAATATCTGACTCTCTTATTCCCAGATCACTGCCCTGCATTACCACTACTGCTGAAATTTTGGTATTTTCAGATGACACCCAACTGTTATGTCAGAAGATGCGTTGAGCAGCTGCTTCCATTGCTAACAGATGTTATCTCTTTCTGTCATTCAGATCTATGCCCTCAACAGAGTCATGACAGAACTGGAGCAGCAGCAGTTTGATGAGTTCTGTAAACAGATGCAGCCTCCTGGAGAATGAGTCCCCTGTGTTCAAACTAGATGGGACCCTGGGAGCTTTGTTTGAGGGTGTTGCCAGTTTTAAGCTGAGATGGCCCATTTGGAGCCTTACAGAACTAGACCAGAAGACATTTGTGGATAAATCTGAGCTTCTTATGTGTAACTTCTACTTCACTGGTTCCTCCAATCTGAATTGGCTGCATGCTTGCTGAAGAGACTTGTTTTCTTCTTCTAAGACAGTGGTTTTTGTTTTGGTTTTTATAAAAAAAGAATAAAAAAACTTTTTCTATTGCTTGAGAACAATCAGTTTCTCATGAAACTCTATATCTTCTCCAAAAATACAAATAAAATACTAATAAAATGTTTATTTGCTTATACTTTAGCAAATACCTAGCCGTAGAAAATGGAGTACAAAATAATGTAATAGGTAAGAAAGGTCGAGGCGAGTGGAAGGTACCCTTTCTCTCTCAGGAGCTGGGTGGAGGAGAGAAAGAACATGACTCCTTCCAGTTTTCATTCTTCCTGGGGCTAAAACTTTGCAGACCCTGCTGATCCCTAGTTTGTAGGCACACAGAAGAAATATGTGACCCCTTTACTCCCAGACGAGTCACTAGTCAGAGTCAGAGGCCTGAAGCTGGGATTCCCTCACCAGTGATTGTGGAGAGCTAGCATCAGGCTTGCATCAACAGCAGGAGGGGCGTGCAGGTGCTTTTTGTTTTGGTGGCTACCTTATCAGACCTGGAAATGGCATTGTGATTGGAATGTTCAGACGTCCCTCAGAAACCAGCCACTGCCCCTCTGCCATCCCACTGCCATTTTTAGGCGTAGAAATGTAAGGTTGTTTCTGCTTCTGGCATTTGTATCAGGAATGGTAATTCATACCTGAATGCTAGCAGTAGAGTTATTTTAATGCTAAGCAAAAGAAGACATTGTTCTTCCAGGATATTTCATTTCCAGAAATTCCTTAGGAATAGGGAGAGAAGGACTTCAGCAAGCTGAAAAAATATCACTCAGTTGGGGCAAAGAGCCAGACACTACCACCTCCTTTCCTCTAAGCTGGAAATGCCTGTATTTTCCCTACTGGCGCTAGAAACCCCTCAAGCGCTCCCTGTCTCCTCTGTCTCCCTGCTGCCTCTGTAGTCACTGAGAATACTTTTCCCATTGCTCTGGGATATATTAGGAGTAAACTGGGCAGTTAATGGTATGTTAAACTTTCTACCACTGTGGAGAATGTGTTTGAGAGCCCAAGTTATAATTAAGAATTATCTCAGGCCGGGCGCGGTGGCTCAAGCCTGTAATCCCAGCACTTTGGGAGGCCAAGGCGGGTGGATCACGAGGTCAAGAGATCGAGACCATCCTGGTCAACATGGTGAAACCCCGTCTCTACTAATGGTGCAAAAAATTAGCTGGGCATGGTGGCGCGTGCCTGTAATCCCAGCTACTCCGGAGGCTGAGGCAGGAGAATTGCCTGAACCCAGGAGGCGGAGGTTGCGGTGAGCCGAGATCGCGCCATTGCACTCCAGCCTGGGTAACAAGGGCGAAACTCCGTCTCAAAAAAAAAAAAAAAAAAGAATTATCTCTACATAGATTATCTCCACAAATGGTAATGGGTTCTGTAGCATGCTGCTACATTTGGTTGAATGGAGTTTTCTGTTTTGTGTTTTCAGAGAAGTAAGGGGTTGGAGGGAGCTGTTCCTATAAAACATATGCCAAAGAGCAATTTTGGAGCCAAATGACCTGGGGTACCCAACCACAAGTTAACCTCTCTGAACTGTACCACACTTTCCCATCTACATAATGGAATAATATTTTCTTCCTCTTAGGAGTGTTGTTGAAAAATAATGTAATAGATACTCAGTGTCTCAGTCCACTTTGTGCTGCTATAACAATACCTCAGATTGGGTTGTTTGTGTGTGTGATGTTTTTGGGGGTTTTTTTGTTTTGTTTTTTAAGATAGGATCTGGCTCTGTTGCCCAGGCTAGAGTGCAGTGGCATGATCTTGACTCACTACAACCTCTGCACCTCTGCTTCCCGGCTCAAACCATCCTCCCACCTCAGCCTCCTGAGTAGTTGGGACCACAGGCATGTACCACCACACCCTGCCAATTTTTGTATTTTTTTTTGTAGAGACAAGGTCTGACTTTGTTGCCCAGGCTGGTCTTGAACTCCTGAGCTCAAGTGATCCATTCTCCTCAGCCTCCCAAAGTACAGGATTACAGGCTTAAGTCACCATGCCTGGCCTAGATTGGGTAATTTATGAAGAACAGAGATTGGTTTCTTACAGTTCTAGAAGCTGGGAAGTCCAAGGTGGAGGGGCCCACATCTGCTGAGGGCCATCTTGCTACATCATCCTGTGGCTGAAGGTGGAAGGGTAAGGGAGGAAGAAGGAGGCCAAACTTCATCCTTTTATTAGGAACCCACTCCCAAGATAACTAGCCTACTCCAGCGATAACAGACAGCATTAATCATTCATGAGGGCAGAGCTTTCATGACCTAATCATCTCTTAAAATTTCCACCTCTTAACACTGTTGCATTGGGGATTGTTTCTAACACACAAACTTTGGGGGAACTCAGAAAATGTTACTTCTTTTCCTAGCCACCTTTTAGATTGTTTCATGGGAAATGTTTTCAGATTTCACACAACTAGGAAAGATATGATCACTGTCTAGAAAGAGTCTTAGTTGGGAACTGCTTGTATTAACATCTCTCAGCCTTTAGTATATTCTTGTCCTGAAGAAACACTCTAGTGGGGCATAGTTTTTCAAACTGCAAGTGGTTGTAAAATCAGTTTAGTAAGTTATGACCAGCTTTTCTTTTTAGTGAAATAATAAATTAGAAAATAACACGTGGTAAGGATATGGTTTGGTGAAACTTGTTTTAGGCTTATGTACACATGAATGTATATATTCCATTTGATGTAAAAATCATTGCTTACTGTGGGTTGTGGTTAAAAAAAAAAAAAAGGTTTGAGATACAAGAGGATGCCTGAACCAAGACGGCAGTGGGCCATCTTTGTATTCCCCTTCCCTCTGTTCCTCCGCCTTTGATCCAGGATCTTGCTCTATCACCCAGGCTGGAGTGCAAGTGGTACAGTCATGGAACTCCTGGGCTCAAGCAATCCTCCTACATCAGCCTTCCATGGAGCTAGGACTTAGAGATGTGTGCCACCACACCCAGCTAATTTTTTAAAAAATTTTTGTAGAGATGGGGACTCACCACATTGCCCAAGCTGGTCTTGAACTCCTGGCCTCCGAAATGCTGGGATTACAGGCATGAGCCAACATATCTGGCCTTTTATTCACATTTTTAAAAGAAAAAGATTTATCTTCTACCTCTAAGAAATACCAAAGTAAGGGGTCCAGAGGCCATTGTGTCCATAATTGGAATAACATTGAATGCCAAGGGTCTTAGAAACATAATCAATGAAAACTAGGAACACATCATCTCTGCTTACCTGCCCAGAATTCCCTCATCCTGATGTAGTCCATCCCCAGTTTCTCAGAGGTACGGAGATATTTTTGAAGCCTCACATCTAAAACCAACAATGACAGCACTGACTTTGGAAGTCAGGTTACCTGGGTTTGACTTGAAGATCCACTACTTGGTGTTCATGTGGTCAGATGTCAATAGTTTTTGTTTTGTTTTGGTTTTGTTTTAGAGATGAAGTCTTGCTCTGTCTCCCAGGCTGAAGTGCAGTGGTGCGATCTCGGCACACTGCAACCTCTGCCTCCCGAGTTCAAGTGATTCTCCTGCCTTAGCCTCCTGAGTAGCTGGGATTACAGGCTCATGCCACCACACCCGGCTAATTTTTGTATTTTTAATAGAGATAGGGTTTCACCATGTTGGTCAGTCCAGTCTCAAACTCCTGACCTCAAGTGATCTGCCCACCTCAGCCTCCCAAAGTGCTAGGATTACAGGCACGAGCCACCGCACCTGGCCCCAAGTCAATAATTCTTAAAAGTTTTGGTCTCAGGGCTTTTCTTATACTCTAAAAATTGTTGTATCTATCATATTTGCTTCATTAGAAGTTAGAAGTTTAAAAAATATTTACTAATTCATTTTAAAATGATAAACCATTATAGGATAACATAAATAACATTTTTGTGAAAAAATTTTCAAAAATAACCATTTAATGAGAAGAGTGGCATTGTTTTACATCAGGCGTCCCCAAACTTTTTACACAGGGGGCCAGTTCACTGTCCCTCAGACTGTTGGAGGGCCGCCACATACTGTGCTCCTCTCACTGACCACCAATGAAAGAGGTGCCCCTTCCTGAAGTGCGGCAGGGGCCGAATAAATGGCCTCAGGGGGCCGCATGCGGCCCGCAGGCCGTAGTTTGGGGACGCCTATTTTACATTTTTGCAAATCTCTTTAATAGCCAGCATAATGGAAAAAAGCTGAATTCTCCTAAGTGCTTCTGTATACTGGATTCTCATCTTGTTTTGGTTGAAATATATGAAAAAACTCTGACCTCACATTGATATGTAGTTAGAAAAGAGTAGGGTATTTTATTGTACATAATCTTTGATACTATACCCAAACTCAGCAAGTGGTAGTTTCTTAAAGGTTAGTTGTAATATAGAATCTGATACCATGTCAGTGATCTTGTTATACTCTTGTTACATTAAAATCCTTTGGTCTTTGACTCTTTCCCTATGAACAGATCTTTCACCCATGCATGATTTTGTAACATCCTGCACTGATCATTTAGAAAACATTGGTTCACCAAGTTATGCGGATTTTCCAAAAGTTACCACATTGCATTACACAACATCAGAAATATTTATTCATTAATATCCCCACTGATCTCACCAGAAAAGTCTGAGTATTGGAAAAGTGTCAAACTCACAGTGACAGTGAGTTTGGATACAAGTTTTCCAAAATTCTAGTCTTCACTTGGAAGCTCAAATTTTATCCTTGGCAACAAAAACTATTTCTTGAAGCAACAGGCTCTCTTCATTTGTAGTTTCAGAAAGACAAGTCTGAGCAACCCTAGTTTGTCTGTCAGTCATCCTTTCGTGTTTCATAAGAAAAGAAGCTAGTTCAGCTCCAACTCAAACCAGTGCTTTTCCTCCAGAGAGCCGCCATCACCGCCGTATGCAGCAGGAATGCTTTATGTGTGCTTTCCGTTTCATTCCACAGAGTATTAAAAAGATGTGTACTCTGGGGCAAAGGTGTAATTAATCATTTTTACTACTTCGTCATGACATTCTTTAGTTTTTTTGTTTTTTACTGTGAGCCTGCAGCAGTGAAAAGTACAATAACTAGCAGTACCGTTTAGGGCCACTGCCCTGATTCACACCAGGGTGCCAGGCGTGTTGCCCACCATTGCTTTGCTCCATTGCAAAAATGTCAACAGAGTGACATTTTAGTCCCAGTTTTAGGATTAAGAAAGCAGTTTTGGTCGTCCTGAAGCAGAGGCCAGAGAAGCGACAAGGGCACGAGCATCGGATAGTTACAGCCAGGCCTTTCTCGGATGTGCAGAAAAGGTTCGGCATTAACCTCGATCGGTGGTGGACAATCCAAAGTGCTGAACAGCCCTACAGGTTTCCTGCTCGCTGCCACGCTTTTGAAAAAGAATGGTTAGAAGGCCGGGCACGGTAGCTCAAGCCTGTAATCCCAGCACTTTGGGAGGCCGAGGCGGGTGGATCACGAGGTCGAGAGATCAAGACCATCCTGGTCAACATAGTGAAACCCCGTCTCTACTAAAAATACAAAAAACTAGCTGGGCATGGTGGCGCGTGCCTGTAATCCCAGCTACTCAGGAGGCTGAGACAGGAGAATTGCCTGAACCCAGGAGGCGGAGGTTGCGGTGAGCCGAGATCGCGCCATTACACTCCAGCCTGGGTAACAAGAGTGAAACTCCGTCTCAAAAAAAAAAAGAAAGAAAGAAAGAAAAAGAATGGATAGAATGTGCACATGGAATCGGTATTATCCGGGCAAAGAAAGAGTGCAAGATAGAACATGATGATTTCATAGAGTGTTTACTTCGGCTAAAAACAATGAGACGTGTGGATACCATCTGGAGGCAACGGGAAAAACTGATGAAGGAAGGGAAGTACACCCCTCCACCTCACCACCTGGGCAAGGGGGAGCCTCGGCCCTGAGCAGACACAGCTCCTGATATCTGGAGGCCGATTTTCATGTTCTCTGTTCTCCACTGGAAAGGTTGTTTATGGAAAACCTCCTTGTCAAAGTGTGTAAAAATAAAGTATTTGCTCCATCCTAAAAAAAAAAAGAAAGAAAGAAAGAAAGAAAACAGTTTTGACCCTGAAAGGGTCTTAGGAACCCCAGGTATCCACAGACCACACTTTGAGAACTGCTGATCTGAAACCTGTGGTCACTACCTCATTGGATTGTTTAGGGGATTATGTGAAAGAGTAAAATTCAAGGAACAGTTCCTGACACATAGTAAGTTATATGGTATAATATAGTAAATGTTAATTATACATTTACTCTACATAGTCAATGTTAACTATTATTATTACTATTATTGTTTGTTTTTTTTTTTTTTTTTTTTTTTTTTTTTTGAGACGGAGTTTCGCTCTTGTTGCCCAGGCTGAAGTGCAATGGTGCGATCTCGGCTCACCACAACCTCCGCCTCCTGGGTTCAGGCAATTCTCCTGCCTCAGCCTCCTGAGTAGCTGGGATTACAGGCACACGCCACCATGCCCAGCTAATTTTTAGTATTTCTAGTAGAGACGGGGTTTCACCATGTTGACCAGGATGGTCTCGATCTCTTGACCTCATGATCCACCCGCCTCGACCTCCCAAAGTGCTGGGATTACAGGCTTGAGCCACCGCGCCCGGCCTTCTTTTTTTTCTTTTCTCTTTTTCTTTTCTTTTTTTTTTTTTAAAGACGGGGTTTCACCATGTTGGTCAGGCTGGTCTTGAACTCCCGACCTCAGGTGATCCACCCACCTTGGCCTCCAAAGTGCTCGGATAACAGGTGTGAGCCACCACACCCGGCCATTACTATTATTCTAAATTGAAATATGTATATATGGGAAGATAAGAAAGCTAGAGGGGACAGAAAGCCATCTAACATTTATTTAACATCTTTTACAGGCCATTCATTAGTGTAGGTGCTTTATGTTCATCCACATAAAACATCACAGTAGTTCAGTCCACAAAACAACCCTAAAAGAAAGTAACTCCTCCATTTTACAGATAAGAAAATAGGCTTAGAGAGATTAAACATTTTATTCAAGGTCACAGGGCTAAAAGAGTAGCAGAATTCTCAGTCACTTGATTCTGCTTATCAGACACAGGAGTAGGACTTCCGGTTAGGAAGAAGGGGCTAGAAGTTGACCAGGAGGGAAATCTACACTCTCTCTCAAGTTTAGGACAAAAAGAACTATCTAAACCCTGCTAGCTTCATGTATTCATCTGAGAAGTGCAGATTTCTTGGCCTTCTCACTTGTCCCTAAGAGGAAGCCCAAGAAGAGACATTCTATTTTAGAAAACCACTGTCTGAGGAAGTGAAGGCATTGAATGAGAAACGTTAGTTTCTGAGACCCTCAAGACCATATAGAAGTACAACCATACTCTTAGAGAGGTGCAAGGAAGCATAGATCCCTCTGTTACCCAGCTGACAGCTGACCTTTAACTATCCTAGTGTCATTAACCTACAAAAAAACTGGGGACAATTAAGCCTGAATTATTACTGTTACAATCAAGCCACAATTTATACATCCAAATGGGTATTTCACTTTCAAAGCAGTCCTCCTGGGGGTCTATTTATTTAACTCTGCTGTCACTTAAAATGGACATGGCAATTGCATCTTTCAGAATTGCATCTTTTTCCTTTCAGCATAGTTTCAAATTTTAGAAACAGCCACCAGTCATTTGAGCCCAAATATGATACCTAATTTGATTTAAGAATAGGGGCCGGGCGTGGTGGCTCACGCCTGTAATCCCAGCACTTTGGGAGGCTGAGGCGGGTGGATCACGAGGTCAAGAAATCGAGACCATCCTGGTCAACATGGTGAAACCCCGTCTCTACTAAAGATACAAAAAATTAGCTGGGCATGGTGGCAGGTGCCTGTAATCCCAGCTACTCAGGAGGCTGAGGCAGGAGAATTGCCTGAACCCAGGAGGCGGAGGTTGCGGTGAGCCGAGATCGCGCCATTGCACTCCAGCCTGGGTAACAAGAGCGAAACTCCATCTCAAAAAAAAAAAAAAAAAAAAAAAAATTAGCTGGGCATGGTGGCCCGTGCCTGTAATCCCAGCTAGTCAGGAGGCTGAGGCAGGAGAATTGCCTGAACCCAGGAGGCGGAGGTTGCGGTGAGCCGAGATCACGCCATTGCACTCCAGCCTGGGTAAAAAGAGCGAAACTCCGTCTAAAAAAAAAAAAAAAAAAAAAAAAGAATAGGACATAATTGGCTAATCTCAAATGTTAGGTTTTTGGACAAAATTTAGTCAGTTCAGAATAAAACATCTTTTTTGCTCTTTGGTTTTGTTGCTGAGCATCTATTATTTTCAGGCACTGTTATACCTGTTTGGTCCTTCAGAGTTTATGTGAAGACCATTTTCAAATTGGGGTTTCTAAAATGTTTTGATTAAAGGGAGCATCACATTGAAATGAATGTGCAGCATTGCAGGGCATAACGCTGAAATGTCTAAGCCCCTGTATATTTGTTAAAATTCTCACCATGTTATAGTAACCTTGTATGTAACCTAACTAGAATCCACAACTAAATCAATTCACACAGAAAGTCAGTATTTCTGAGTGCCAGGCAGTATGGCAGATAGCAAAAATACAAAACCTAAAGTGAAGGAGATAGAAAGTCACGGGACACAGGCATCTTCATCTAACTAGGAACACAGGAATGATTTCACAGGAAGGCACTGTCTATTCTGCTAGAGCCAAATCTTACTTTGGGTCGTTTTTCACCATCTAATTTGAGAATAGATGTATATTTACCACATACAGTGTTCTGGAAACTTCAAAAAGTTATATCCAGGGTAGAAGGTGCTCTGGCACAGTCTCTGAGGGTGGAGCAGAACCCGCCACCAATCCTTTTTCCACCATCTGGGAGGTGGAATATCTGTCCATGCTGGGGGCTCAGTGAACCTGAGTTCTTGGTAAGGTACAACTTTTCTATACAGTACTGTTTATTTCTATGTGATTTGGATTTTAGACTATGAAGGAGCATCTGAATAGCTAGAGTTTAGTAGTTTCCAGCATAGGAAAGAAGATCCACAGAGATCCTGCAAGCCAGACAATGCCTTGTGTCACCAATGTGTCTAATCACTAAACAAAGCAAAAGACAGCAGCTTTGAATTGTTAAAATACAGAATGTTTTAAATTACAAAATCCTACACACATTCAAACTGGGCAACATGGGAGTCCTGTGATTGCTCTATTTTCAGAGCCAGAGTCTGCAAGAGTAAGAAATGCTTCAAGAAGCCCCACCAGGCAGGGCTGAGGCCGAGGTCATACCAGTTCTGAAGGATGCTGGTAACAGAGCTGGAACTCAAACCCAGCCCCCATTGAGTTTGAGGCAAGGTGGGGGAGAATGGGAGGTAGTGGGGGGTGGGGGACACATTCTGTTCTACATGACATAAACAAAATAAACAAGTATTGTCTCCAAGGGAGTCAGAACCCTGAATAAAGAGAAAGAAGTGAAGGACACTGAGCCTACTTTGGGTTTCTTGCTTCCTGGCCACAGACATAGCATGTATCTAGTATATGACAACACAGGTACATGCAAAGCTTTCGTGCAACTACACAAGGCTTGACCCAACACGCTGACACAAACCCCACAGAGGCCGGGGCGAGCTGGCAGAGCTGCTTACTTCCTCAGTGCTGTGACGAAAGACGGGCTGCCTTGCCCCACAGAGCATCTGGAAAGAAGATGTATGAGAGTGACCATACCAGGCAGTAGCAAGCAGACAGAGACAACGGCGAGAAAAACAGCACGACGACACCTGGAAGAAGAAACAAATGCAGTCACTCAATTTCCTGGAAGCTGTCTTCCATGCTTTCTACCCTCTACTCTCCTGTCCCAACCCTTCCGTTCTTTATTTTTCACCCACAGTGCCTAAGAAACAAACAAAAAGAGACAGGAGCCCTGTCTTCAAGTTCAGTTTAATAGAGATGGGTAAGTAACCAGAGAAGCATAGCCCAATGCGGTCTCAGGTTCCATTGTGTCAAATTCACATCAGAAGTCTCAGCCAAGAAGACATTTGAATTGCCCTTGTTAGGGAAAACAAGAAAAAAAAAAAAAAAAAAAAAAAAAAAAAAACCCTAGTTAGGAAAGAAATCTTCCTCACTGTTTTGAATTTAACATGTGATAATGGCCAATGCAATATTATACATATGCAGAAAAGAGTTTACGTCCAGGCTCAAGACTGCTATCCTCAGAAAGGCCTTCTTGCAAGGCTGACCCTTGGCTGATGGCTGAAAACTTGAATAGTAAACAGTTCCCTAGATCAATATAAAACTTTCTCCAACTGATAAGAGTGTCTCACTGTACCTAGACTATCCCTATAAGCACAGTGGTAACACCTGCTTTCCTTCTGGGAGTGTGGAATTTTGGTACATGGTAGGCACAGGGTGCTGACGTGACCATCCCCCAATAAGAACTTGGGCACTGAGTCTCTGATGAGTTTCCCTGGTAGACGATACTTTATTGTATTATCACAATTCAGTGCTGAGGAATTAAGTGCGTCTCATGTGACTCTACTGGGAGAGGACTCTCTGAAGCTTGCACCTGGTTTCCCCTGAACTTTGTCCCATGCACCGTTTCCCTTTGCTGATTTTGCTTTGTAACCTTTTGCTGAAATCAATCTTAGCTATGAGTACCACAACAGGCTGAGTCCTGTGAGTCTTCTCAGGGGTTGTCTTGGGCACTCCCAACACAGTTTGCACTCAGATTCACCACCAAAAGGCAAAAGAGCACCCATGTTCATGAAATACGTACATTTTTTCATCTATACTCCACAATAATCCTATGGTTTAGAATTAAGTCTGTTTTTCATATGATGAAAACAAAGTAACTTCTGCCTGATTCTTCAAAACAAGACATACTGCCTCAGAGAACTCAAAAAGAGGGCAAAGAGAGTATGAGCCAATGCATTTCCATGGGAATGATCACCATGTATCCTGTAAGAGAAATCAGAACATATGCTCTGACAGGAGACCACTTCTAGGATTAAGAAGCAGTTAAGGATATGCATGGGCATTTTGGAATACTGCATTTCAAGAATAGTCATTGATCTATTGCCCTTTTGCTGAGGCAAAAGGAATCTCAGCACTTTAGGATGCCAAGGCAGGAGGATTGCTTCAGTCCAGGAGTTTGAGACCAGGCTGGACAAAAGAGTGAGACCCCGTCTCTACCATATATATATAATATTGGGGTACTTTCTGTTAAAAAAAAAAAGTATACAATATAAGGTCTCAGAGTGCTGGTCACAGGCCAGTTCTCAGACGTATGAAGCTCTATGGGGGAGAAGGCACCTCAGTCTAAGAAGGTGACTGGCTGCCTTCAAGTAAGAGGAATGTCCACAGAAGCCATTTTGAAATCTACCCAGTAGGGCTCTGTTAAACTATTGTCAAAATCTGTAAGGTGCAGCTTCCTCCTTTACTCAGAGAGCAGGACAATCTAAGGAAGGCTGAGGCCAAGCATGTGGTTTATTTTGAGAAGAGGGGGATCAGTAGTACCTACAGGGAGCAAAGAGCACTGAGAAATTCTACTGCTATGAGACAGGAGAAGGGGAGGAAGAGAAGAAGGGGGAGGCTAGAAATGGACACATCTGTGCCAGGGGATTTATATTTATTATCTCATTTAATCTCAGTAATCCTGCAAAGTAGGGATTAGTGGCTTCGTTTTACAGATGAAGAAAACTGAGCTCAAAACAGTGAGGTATTAGCTGAAGTTCATATAACTAATAAATGCCGGAGTTCGAGCTTGGGCTCAGGGCTTCCTGAGAAGCTTCTAAACCCAGAAGCTTCTCACCAGCATTCTGCCTCTGCCACCTAAGGTGTAGGAGGAGCCAGCTACTAGAACTTGGATAGGGACTGTTGGTGCTAATGTTACCAAAGGTATAAACCTTAAGGGAAAGATCAGGATGAAACCGAAGACCCTATAAACTAGAGTAGACTCACACGGGAATAATGGAAGAAACTCTGGATGCCCATATATGTTTGTCTTGTTTACAGAATCACATTTAAGAGAAGAAAAACTGATATTCTTTGAAGGAAGCCCTAAATCTGGGAAAGCTCTAGGGGGACTTCTGCAAGGTCCCAGTGTGACCAGGAACTCAGGGCCTGGAACCCAGTGCTCAGTTACTTCACCCCAACCCTAGGAGTCATCCATGTCTCCTCCTCCTTCCTCAATGTCAATTATATTTCCAACATTTATCTTAAATCCATTTACTTCTCCTTATCTCCACTGCCACCATCACCTCTCATCTGAACAAAAAGTTGGTTTTCCTACTTACGTTCTCAGTCCTGAAATCTGTTCACCACATGGCAGTCCAAGTGATCACTGAAAAGTGCTGCTCCGGTTGTACCACTTCCCTGCATAGATCCCTTCAGAGGCTTCTCATTTGCCTTTGGTATCAAATCCCAAATCCTGCCAGGTCCACTCACCTCGTGGCCTTAGTTTGTGTCACTGGCTGTCTCAGCAAGTTTCAGCCACATTGCTCCACTAATGCATCCAGCCCCTGTGGCCCCAAAGACATCACAACGTACTGTTCCTCTGCCTGAACTTCCTGAACCTTCCCATCCTCACCTGGCCACTCCTCCTGTAGGTCTCACTTAAATGACACCCACTTAAGGATCCTTCCCTTCCCTTCAGATCATCTCAGCCGGAACTAGGTCACCCTCTGACACTCTCTTAGTGTACACTATTTGTATAAAACATACAGTAGAACTATATGTTTCTAGTTATTCCTGCCATTATTTGTTTGATATCTGTCTTCCCTGCGGTCAGGCTCTAGATGCAGAGGCAGGGACTGTTTGCTTAGTTTACCAATTTGATTTCCAGCACCTGGCACATGGTGGGTGCTTCCTAAATTTCTATTGAACATATTAACATTTACCAAATATATATGAGCACCTACTATGTGACTGACACAATTCTGGGCACTAGAATATAATATTAAGTATATTAATAGCATGAATAAAAAAGAGTCCTCTATTGGGGGTAGGTTTAGTGTTTATAGACGATAAGAAAACTAGTAAATATGTCAGATGATCATGAGTTCTATGGGGAAAAATAAAGCAGAATAAGGGACAGAGAAAAATGCTGGGGTGAGGGACAGTGGCAATAAGCAGCAGTGATGACAAAGCTGGCCATGGTGACACTTTCACTCACCTCCTATATAAACCAATTTTTTCCAGTTCTCAGACTCCAGGATTTTGTCATGTGGGTAGTAGCTCTGGTCCATCATAAAGAGAATCATGAGTGAGGCCATGCAGCAGAGGATAAATGTGTTGCCTTTGGTCAGAAGGTAGGTGGAAGCCAAGATGGAGGAAGCATAGGGGCAGGGTAGACCCCTGTATGTGGAGGGGACTCCTGCCGGGAAGAACACTGGAGATTAGTTGCTTCCGTCTGCCCTAAGGATACCTAAATGAAGCAAGCCCCTCTTTCTTTGAGTATTCCCCTGCCCAGGATACAATACTCCCTTAAAGCCAAAGGCAATAGCAGGCTGAAAATCATTTATTCACAAAGATGATGCATGGGTTTTACTTGGGTTTCCAAGGGAAAGGAGACAGCCAGCTAGGACCAGGGTGTGCCCTGGCTCCTAGGAAGTCTCTGCTGAGAGGGTCCTTTGAGACCTGCTAGTCTAAGCCCTGTGCTGTATCTTCTGCCCTCCCTCACGTTGTGACCTTAAGCAAAACAATTCCCCTCACTGGAACATGGCTTCTCCATCTTTTTTGAGAACTGGGGTACAACCTCCAGTTGTAGTCCAAGAATCAATGTGCTCCATCCAAAGATCACAGGTCATGCAGTGAGAAAGAGGCATAGCCGCTCCAAGAAACGAAGGCCCTTGCCTCCCAGCCCAGGGCTCTGCCAATACAGCCTGCAGCCTCCAGTGGGCATGGGGCATGGGGCATGCAAGGAGGAAGGAAGAGGACCTCTGAAAAAGGACTCAGTAACTGCACCCCAGGCTTCTGACATCTGACAGCCCCCTGTTCTGTGGTCCCCTGCCCTCTGTTCTAAGGCAACCTTGGTTCCACTCACCCGGTGAATAAAAGCACAAGCGGAAAGAAGCAGCTGACACATAGATGATGGCCAGGGTCCCACTCAGAAGTCCGTCCACGCCTAGGAGCAGGGCAGAGGCCAGGCCGAAGGTGGTGAAGATGGCGAAGTCATTCAGCTCAGCTCCTGCCCCAGAGGGCCCAAAGTTAGGAGAGCTTACACTCTGATAGCTTGCACCTTAACCTCACTCTGGTGGGGGAGCTGGGGTAGTGACAAGAGGGGTCCTGAGGTCCCAGAGAGCAACAGCTGCTCCCCTGGGGCAATCTGTAGATCAAGGCTGGGATCTCCTCCTGGCTCTGCCTTGAACTGGCCATTGGCCGGGGGCAAGTATTTCCCTCTCAGGTCTTAGTTTTCCCATGCCTTAACATGCAAGGGTTGGACTACCATCAGATACAAACTGATAAGCTGTGGGACTTTTCTTTTTTTTTTGAGACGGAGTTTCGCTCTTGTTACCCAGGCTGGAGTGCAATGGCGCGATCTTGGCTCACTGCAACCTCCGCCTCCTGGGTTCAGGCAATTCTCCTGCCTCAGCCTCCTGAGTAGCTGGGATTACAGGCACGCGCCACCATGCCCAGCTAATGTTTTTGTATTTTTTAGTAGAGACGGGGTTTCACCATGTTGACCAGGATGGTCTCGATCTCTTGACCTCGTGATCCACCCACCTTGGCCTCCCAAAGTGCTGGGATTACAGGCTTGAGCCACCACGCCCGGCTAGCTGTGGGACTTTTTAAAACTAAATCTTACATGGAAGCATTTTACTGTATTTTAAACCAGCTGCTCTGCTGGTTTAATTTTCATCTCCGCTCTGCCAGCCTCCTCTCACCCCACCCCTCCCCACTTCCACTCCAATATCTGGATGGGCCCAGAACAGGGAAGCAGGGCAGATAAGAAAACTGAAAGCCAGGACAAGGACTGAGCAAAAGTCAATAAGTGAGCCAGCAGAGGAGCTGGAGCTGCACCATGAGGCTCCTGAACTCCTGCCCCAAGGCTGTCTGTGCTGCTCTCAGAGGGATGTGAACAGGGGTGGATGCCTGATGAAGGCCTGCTGGATGTTAGACGATAGATGAAGGGGGTGACCCCAGATGGATGCTACTGGGGGCGAGGATTAGGGGCTTGGGGCCTGGACTCACCCAATTTGGAGCAAATGTTGAGGTGACTGGTCATTGCCCTGACTGCCATGTCTAACGGGAAGCTGACCAGGAGCATCCAGGAGGCATACTGGCGTTTCCTAAAGCACAGGCAAGCAAGCTCAAACGGGGCAGCACTTTTGCAGTCTCCACTGAGACTCTCCCCCACCCTCCATTAGTGCATTAGTATACACTAATATACTTCTTACACACTTCCCACACTTACACACATACACACATCCCTTCATGTCCCCCACACTCACATCCTGAACAATGCTGCTTTCACGCCACACATACACACTCACATGCCTATATCCCCCACAAACTTAATCTACAGTCAGAAAGGAGTGCCCCAAACCCCCTAGAAAATCACTAAGATCCCTTCCAACTCTAAACTTCCAGGCATTTTTGATGGCACAGGGGACCTAAGTCCTAGCCCAGCCTCTGCCACCATCTCCCTATGAATTCTTAGGTAAATCACTACCCCATCTCTATGCCACTCCCCCATCTGTAAAATGGGGAGTGTGTGCTAAATGATTTCTTTAACAGATATATAACTACTCAGATGACTTGGATCTCCTTGTGTGAGTTTTGGTAACTTACGACTTTTAAGGGATTGATCATTTGCAGCTAGGATATCAAATTTTGGGCATAGAGTTGTTCATAGCATTCCTTTATTATCCTTTTAATGTCTGTGGAATTAGCAGTAATGGCCCTTGTTTTGTTTCTGATACTGGTAATTTCTGTCTTTTCATTTTTTAACTTGGATAGCCTGGCTAGAGGTTTATTGATTTTATCTATCTTCTCAAAGAACCAGCTTTTGGTTTCACTGATGTTTTTCTATTAAATTCTTGTTTTCAATTTCTTTGATTGCCACTCTAATTTTTATTTTATTTTTTACTTTTTTGAGATGGAGTCCCTCTGTCTCAGGGCCTCAGCTCACTGCAGCCTCTGCCTCCCTGGTTCAAGCAATTCTCCTGCCTCAGCCTCCCGAGTAGCTGGGCTTACAGGCATGTGCCACCATGCCCAGCTAATTTTTACATTTTAGTAGAGACGGTGTTTCACTATGTTGGCCAGGCTGGTCTTAAACTCCTGACCTCAAGTGATCCACCTGTCTTGGCTTCCCAAAGTGATGGAACTACAGGCATGAGTCACGGTGACCGGCATAATTTTTACTTTTTATTTTATATGCTTACTTTGGATTTAGTTTGCTCTTCTTTTTCTAGTTTCCTAAGGTTAAAGCTTAAATTATGGACTTTAAATCTTTCTTTTTTCGAATATATGCATTCAATTTAGGAAATTTTCCTCAAAGCAAAGCACTGCTTTCCTTGAATCCTTAAAGTTTTGATAAATCACGATTTCATGTTTTTTTAGTTCAAAACATTTTTAATTTTTCTTGAGACTTCTTCTTTTATCCATGTGTCATTTAGAAGTGTGTTGTTTGATCTCCATATGTTTCAGGATTTTTCAGCTATCTGTTATTGACTTCTAGTTCAATTTCATGTGATCTGAGAGCATACTTTTGTTAAATTTGTTAAGGTATGTTTTATGACCCAGAATGTGGTCTGTCCAAGTGAGTCTGAGAAGAATGTGTACTCTGCGTGGTTGGATGATGTCCACTCTATAGATGTCCACTTTATCCAGGTGACCGATAGTGTTGCTGACTTCAACTATGTCTTTGCTGAGTTTCTGCCCGCTGGATCTGTCAGTTTCTGATAGAGGGGTGTGAAAATCTCCAACCTTGATCGTGGACTCATCAATTTCTCCTTGCAGTTCTATTAGTTTCTGTCTCATGTATTTTGATGCTTTAAATGATTTCCATAAGCTCTTTCAGACCCCACATTCTTGATTCTGTGCCTCCATCCAGCACATGCTCCCAGGTCCCTCTAAATACTGCCACCACAGCTTCAAGCAAACCTACCCTGAAAGGTGCATTCCCAAGTCTGCGCCCTGAATGCAATGCTTAGGTGGCCAAGAAGGAGCAAAGGGCCTGACCTAGACCTCAGCTGTCCCCCAAAAACCACAGCATTTCCTTTGTTTAGACCTAGACCTATATATCTAATGGGGACTGAAGCTACATAAAAATACTAGGGGCAGTATCATGGCATAAAAACTACACTCCCAGAAAATTAGGCTGAATTAAGAAGATGGGGATTTTCTGGGCTGGGCACAGTGGCTCACGCTCATAATCCCAGCACTTTGGGAGGCCTAGGCAGGTGGATCACTTGAGTCCAGGCGTTTGAGACCAGCCTGGGTAATATAGTGAGACCTCATCTCTAAAAAAAAAAAAAAAAAGAAAGAAAGAAAAGAAAAGAAAGAAAGAAAAGGCTTTTCTTGAAAAAAGAGATTTTCTGGCCAGGTGTGGTGGCTCATGCCTGTAGTCACAACACTTTAGGAGGCCAAGGCGGGCGGATCACAAGGTCAGGAGATAGAGAGCATCCTGGCCAACATGGTGAAACCCCATCTCTACTAAAAATACAAAAATGAGCTGGGCATGGTGGTGCATGCCTGTAACCCCAGCTACTCAGGAGGCTGAGGCAGGAGAATCACTTCAGTTAGGGAGTCGGAGGTTGCAGTGAGCCGATACCCCACCACTGCACTCCAGCCTGATGATAGAGCAAGACTTGGTTTCAAAAGAAAAAAGAAAAAAATGACAGAGATTTTTGTACTGTAGATGTGCCCTACTTTATTAGACTCCAAATATGAAGACATAGAGAATCATGAAAATTTCAAGCTGGAAGCATGCTTAAACATCATCAGATAAAGTCATCTTATTTTATGGATGAGAAACAAATCCAAAGAGAAGTCACTGGTTGATGGTTATAGACAATCAAGTAGATTAGGAGGATGTTATCTGCATCATAAAGTATTTATCTTTAAAGGACTGATATCCCAAAAACATTGACATGGGATTCAATTTACAGAAATAGAATTTGCTTACAACATTTTCGGGGAATTTATATATGTCTCGGACCTCCCAGAACGGTGCTAATTTCGAATATTCTGCCAGGTCATGTGATCTTATTTAAGAATTAGAAAACATGAACAGTGGCCTACCCAAAGATTGTATAAAGTCCACCAAAAGAGAATCTCTTGATTTTCTCATAAAAACCATTCTAGACTGCCATAGCTGGAATGAACTACAGAGATCATAATGCAAGCTCCTCATTTTACAGAAGGAGAAACTGAGGCTCCAGGATGTAACCTAGCCAAGGTCACATCAGGTATGTGGTACAGCTAAGTCTGGGATCTTGGCCCCTTGACTCCTAAGCCACTGCACTTTCCCCAGGTCCACTGTGGATTCCTGTGCCTCAGTGCGTGCTCTCTAGAATCTCCCTCTCCTTTCCTCATGCCATTGGCTCCAGCTCTTGGCTAAGAGCTTGCTGGGCCCCAGACCTACCTGCTAAAGCTGAAGATGATGGAGAAGAGCCCCAGGACCATGCTGGCCAGAGATAAGGTATTGGTAACCTCCTTCCAGGAAACGTCATTTATCCGGGAATGGCTCTGGTCATGGCTCAGGAAGAAACCTGGTACCCTTACCTGGGGCCTAAGAGAGAGGGGCAAAGGGTTCCAAGGTCAAGGAGTCCCAGAAGAGGCTCCCAGGGACCCATTCCACTAGACCTCACCACAGAATGGCACCCTCCCTACATTCTGTATCACATCACTGGCTGGACTAAGGGAGACAGGAAGTAGATGAATGAGACTCAGGAGGTAAAGACAAAGGTGCTGAGGATCCAGCGTCTTGGAAAAGCTCGGTAGCAGAGCAGGTGAACCAACACAGCATAGTTTCCACTCCCTCTCTGACTGCACCTTTGCCCTGCAGCGCAGACATCTCTCCAGTCCATATGCTGACCCTTCTGGAGCCCCATGGCCCAGAATACCAGGGGTATGGGCCCTTTTCCCATGTGAGAGGTGGGCCCTTGTCACTGATCAAGGGTTGGCTTGAGACAGAAGTAGTGCCAGGAAGCCCCGTTGTCCCACAGTCCAAGCTCCCTCCCTCTGAAGCACAGGGCTACAGCTGAGGTGCCCCACGGTCCTGGTTCTGACAGGCCCCAATCAGAACAGCAGGCCTCCCTCCACAACGGAAGAGACGACAGATTAAAAATGAATGTGTAGCTGGACACGGTGGCTCATGCCTGTAATCCCAGCACTCTGGGAGGCCAAGGCAGGCAGATCACCTGAGGCAGGAGTTCGAGACCATCCTGGTCAACATGTTGAAATCCAGTCTCTACTAAAAATACAAAAATTAGCCAGGTGTGGTGGTGCACACCTGTAATCCTAGCTACTCAGGAGGCTGAGGCAGGAGAATCGCTTGAACCTGAGAGGCAGAGGTTGCAGTGAGCTGAGATCACACCACTGTACTCCAGCCTGGGCAGACTGAGCAAGACTCTGTCTCAAAAAATAATAATAATAAAGAATGTGGCCGAGGCGCGGTGGCTCACGTCTGTAATCCCAGCACTTTGGGAGGCCGAGGCAGGTGGATCACGAGGTCAAGAGATCAAGACTATCCTGGTCAACATGGTGAAACCCTGTCTCTACTAAAAATACTAAAAATTAGCTGGGCATGGTGGCACGTGCCTGTAACCCTAGCTACTCAGGAGGCTGAGGCAGGAGAATTGCCTGAACCCAGGAGGCGGAGGTTGCGGTGAGCCGAGATTGCACCATTGCACTCCAGCCTGGGTAACAAGAGCGAAACTCCGTCTCAAAAAAAAAAAGAATGTGTACAACACTGAATAGTTCACAAAGACCTTTTCACCATGTTCTCTTCCCAGCATCTGCTGATGACCTCAGGACATGGTGCTGGAATTCTCCCCTATTTTAGGAAACTACCATTAAAAGAAAAGATGGTCAGGTGCGGTGGCTCACGCCTGTAGTCCCAGCACATTGGGAGGCCAAGGTGGGTGGATTACGAGGTCAGGAGTTCGAGACCAGCCTGACCAATATGGTGAAACCCCGTGTTTCTTGTCTCTGTTTTCACTCTAAGAACAAATATGTACACCTTACACATAAAATGCTTGTGAAACTGAGTCTCTTGGAGAAAGAGTCCCATTCCTACCCAAAACTGAGAAGCCCCACTGGTTGGGGCAAATGTACTAGCCATAAATAGATCCTGAGTAAAATAAACAGGTTCCAAGGTGTTCCCAAATCTGTCTTCTCATTTAATCCTCACCCATTTCAGAGGTGAGGATTAATCTCACCTCCAGCTCTGCCTCCATCCAGCCCCTCTGTGCAGCCTCAGGACCCATCTGGTCTGGGCAAGAGTTGAAACAAACCATCATCCTTTCTCATAAACCCACTACCAAGAGGCCAGCAGCTGGGAGAGCTGTCTTGGAGTTTGAGACTAGAGTTTATCAGTCCTCTGTGGGCCAGCCTCACTCACCAAAGAGGAGCAGTAGCTACATGGCCAAAGTCATTGTGATTCCGAAGACCTTCTCATGCCAGGGCCCCTAAGGCAGGAAGCAATGCAAGCCAGGGAAATCTGGGAGGGGAAGGGGACAAGCGACTTGCTGTATACTCCCTCCCCATGAACCCGCTGTAGTGGTCTCTCCTGGATCTCTAGGCTGACCCCAGCAAGATCAAACATCCTAGTGTCTGCTGCTCAGAGCCAGACAGCAGGTACTCAGGGTCTGTCTACCAATCGTCAGGCATTGCTGCTGCCTCTGTGCTACTTCACAGCTGGTTAACTTCTAATTAATGGTCAATTGTCTACTTCATTATTATCTCTTTCATACTATCTACTTCATATTATCTCTTTCATTATCTCCTCCATTCACAAACCACTTTCACATTTAGGATTTCCATTGGCCCTGTGAGCGCTGTTAGGCAAGAGTTCTTATCCCTGCTTTCCAGGTAGGTAAGGAAGACTTAGAGATGGGAGGAACCTAGCTCAAGTTCACACCAGAAGTGGCGGAAATAAGACTTACGATTTTGCCTTAAGTGTTCTTTCCCCAGTGCTCTGCTCTCTGCTAACCAAGAGGACTGGCCATTGTATTGGTTATATGCTCTGCCTGAGCCGGGGGCTGGCAGAAACCTTATTCCCTAACATCACAGAGTTTACAAACTCTCCAAGGAAATGAGTCTCTTGCATGCATGTGGAGACTTAGACTCTATTCACAGTGGTACCTTATCTTATGGATGGGGAAACTGACATTTCAGGAGAGTTAAGTGACTTGTCCAGTAAATGGTGGAGCCAGGATTTGATTTGGGTCTCCTCTTTCCCAGTTAAATGCTGTTTGCAGCAGAATGCACAGGTCCCAGGTGTGAAAGGATGTGGACTGGAGAGTAAGGGCTGTAGAAGACTGCAGAAATAAGGAACCACCCATTCATTCAGCAAACATTTGGGCAGGGACAAGATTTGGTGCCTGGTGCTTGGGACGCAGAGAAGATTAAGACCAAGGAGCACAGTTTAGCCTCAGTGCCTAGCCCTGCACAGGAAAGAGGCAACCAGGCTACTAAGGGGGCACCAAAGGGGGCTCGGCCTGCCAGCGGTGAGAGAAGGCTCCCAGGAGGGGTGGGGGCTGAGGCTTGACACAGCACCTACCTGCAGGAGTAGATCTGGTCATTCCCCAGCTTCTGGAATGCCCTCAGGATGGAGTCCAACTACTGCGTTTGGTAAGCCAGCCCTGCTCAGCAATCCCAGCTTCCTCTCTCAGTCCTCCACCCTTCTCAGGACCTCCCTATGATCTTGGGTTGGTTGGTGTTCCTCTTTGGGAACCCCTTAGGACATCCCCCCAAGCATGTTAAGTGCCCCTCATCTGTATGGTCTCGTCTTCTTGTGCTCACCATGTGGCACTCTGTTTTGGCACAGCCCACCTTGGCTTCCTCCTCTCCTACAGGGGACACAACTTGAGTTCTGGCTGAGGTCCCTGTGCCCAGTGTGAGGCCTGACAATAGAAGTTGTTCCGTGTTTGTTAAATCAACATCGCAGGTCACTGTGGTGCTTCCCTGAGTACCTCTGGCTGCACCAAATCTATGGACCCTCCATCTAACCCTGCCCAACATGGCCTCTAAGAAGACTTCTCAGACGAACACTCAACAGTCCAGCCCCTTCTGCACATCCAGCAACTACCCAGTACTTACGATCTTCCACTTACTCATTTTTTTTTTTTTTTTTTTTTTTTTTTTTGAGACGGAGTTTCGCTCTTGTTACCCAGGCTGGAGTGCAATGGCGCGATCTCGGCTCACCGCAAACTCCGCCTCCTGGGTTTAGGCAATTCTCCTGCCTCAGCCTCCTGAGTAGCTGGGATTACAGGCATGCACCACCATGCCCAGCTAACTTTTTGTATTTTTAGTAGAGACGGGGTTTCACCATGTTGACCAGGATGGTCTCGATCTCTTGACCTCGTGATCCACCCGCCTCAGCCTCCCAAAGTGCTGGGATTACAGGCTCGAGCCACTGGGCCCGGCCCACTTACTCATTTTTTTAAAATGCTGTTTATTTATTGCTGATGGCTGCTCTGTGCCAGGCCCTGTGTGTCTGGGGATGGGAGAACAAGAGCCAGGCTGAACCCTCCAGAGTCTGGTACAGGAGGCAGCTGTGTGTAGGGACGAGTGTAATGTTGGACAAGGGGATGTCCCAGCTGCTGTGGAGAGACTAAGTGTGGGGTGGGGTGGGGGAGGTTTCCACTCCTGTAGTGACATTTATCAGGGTCTCTAAGGATGAATAAAGAATTAGGAGGGGCATCCGTGGCGGAGGGAATGAACAGGTGCGGAAGCACGATGAGGAAGCTGGATCCCGGGAGACAGGGGTGACCAGAGGTGACACTGGCAGGGAGGCTGGAGGGGGTGGTTGTGCGGGTGTGATCTTGAGTGGCAGCCTGTGGCGGGCAGTGTGGTGTTCAACAACGGAGCAGAGTCTTGTTCAGACACGGGCAGGGAGCGCAGGAAGGCTTGGAGGGGACAAACTACGGAAAAGGAAACACGCCAGGAGACTGGGAGTCGGGGGAGAGACGTGAGGAGAGGAAAAGCCGGGCTGTGGCAGTGGGGCTGCAGGGGAGGGGACAGTTGAGTATGCCTCTGAGGTTTCTCAGGAGCGGGGCGGCACCTCCGCGGACTGAAACCATCCAGGCGAGCTCTCCAACCGGTGACACGTGACACGCATGGCACAGACACGGCGACGCCGCTTGAGCCAGTTACAGACTCTCTTCCCCCCCACTCCCTGCTCCTTTCCTGGAGGCTGGAAACCCGTGCCCCGACAGAGGGCCGGCCTCTGGGGACTGGACGCGGTTCCCTGGCCCACTCTGGCTGTCCGGAGGCTGCCCAGGCCTGGCTCCAGCCGGGACCACCCTGGAAAGACAGAGCCGAACTGGTCGCTGAGAGCACCCAGGGAGCGGCGCTTCTCGCCCCTTCCACGCGGGTGCAGAGGCTTACCTGGGGACAAGGCATTCCTACATGGGATGGGGGTCCGTGCTCCTGCTCGCTTCCTGTGTGGTGGAGAGGGG